CATCATCGATAAGAATGGAGACTTTCATTTCATAAATGAATTTCTTGACGACCTATATATATATATAGTTTTAATAAATGTAGTTTAAAAACAGGACTAACGGTTAACAAAACCCATAAAAAAATTAAACTGATAAGCATTTGTTGTAAGAATATAAGAAATATAATATTGTCCTAATAATAATAATATGATTTTACGGTTGGTCAGGTTGGAAAATTGGTTGTTTTCGAAAGAAATTAAGCAGAAAGCCTATATTTTTCTGGCCAATTAATGTATACAAATTTATATTTTCATGTTACAGCATATTTTATTTTCAAAATGGATTGAAAGGCGTGTTGTTGTTTCATGTTATTATACTGCTGCTATGGAAATCCCGATACCTTTAGATAAACGTTGGAAATATATGCACTGCATTTTTAGAAAGTTTGCTCATGTCGAATCCTCAAAATGGGATGTATATATAAACCATTTATTGAGAAAAGTAGCTGAACTATGTGCAGAAATTAATATTGATCAAATCCACATAATAGCGTGTTAGTCACCAACTTCCAGTGAGTCACTCTGACTCAACACGCGACTAACTAGATAATCAGAGTAAGAAACTTTTGTGTTTGACGTACTGTTATGGACATTTAAAAAAAGTTCTACTGAATTTACGTACAAAATATTTCCAACCTTTAATAAAAAAATTGATGAATCTTATTATTAAGAAGGATCAAAGGCATTACCAGTTTCATGTAAAAAATATTCAATGCGACAATGAAACAACGTTCGGAACGTTTGCTTTTTGTTGGGAGAAGTTTTGTTCTTTCAGTGGACAGAATTAAAAAAAAAGGGTGAACTTTTCTAATTCTAGCCATACGTATTCAGGATTTCCGTAAGAAGTGTATTTTTAATTTGGAAACAAAAAATAACGACCTACTTCTCATCAACAAAAACATGAATATTGAAGCTCTATCATAAACAAATTAACAAACCGCATTAAAATATTATTACTTCGATAATGATAAGAACTTAGTACTATCAACTTTCAATGTTCTGAATAGTCCGTCAATGTTCACCACCGGACGATGATAACGTCTTAATATGATGTATATTCGTTTTTCTTTCGACATGTAATTGTTTATGTTAAAAAAATATATCAGCTGTGAGAACTAATATTTTCTACTCATAGTAACGACAATATTTTACAGAAAGCTTATTAGCTCGAAGTTGGTCACAATTTTGAAATCATACAATAATTGTTGTAATATTAGATTGTGTATACAGCAGCCGTTACAGCTCTGCCTTTACCACATCAGTTGAAAAAAGCATAGTGTTGGCCTAATAGAGTAATCCCGAGTTTTATACATGACCAGACTTGATACACCATTCTATGCGTCTTTAAATGGTGACTGTTGAAACTAGTAACTTACCGTATTTTTCGATGTATAAGACGCACTTGTTTACCCCAAATTTTGATGTCAAAATATGCTTGCGTCCTATACACCGAAGGTATGAATAATATATATATGTATATATACG